TGAGAAATCATAAGATCTCTTTTCACTGGTTCATGGGCCCAATGATTTTTTTGTTTTTTTTAAAATGAGGCTGATCTGAGAGTGACTGTCCCCCAGCTGAGAACAAATCCAGCTAGAGAACTCTCAGCTGCCACCTGATGATCCTCTAGAGACAGCAGGTCACAGAGTTCTGTGGATAATACAACCTGATGCCAACTTGCTTCCCTTAAAATGGCACAGAGTCTGAAAATAGTGTTGCCACCACCTCATATCCAAGAGGGGAGGAAATATTGTCTTGCCATCGAGGCAAATTTGTGACATGATTAGAGAATGCTGTGTCCCTTCCCCACCTCATACCTCTCACTGTCCCTTCCTACCACCCTCACGTATGTCTCTCTTTTTTATAATAAATAACTCGTGGCTGTGGGTCTTACCCAAATTCGCATCTTTATCCTCAGAATGCACATTTACATTTCAAAAAAGCTTTTAAAAAAGTGATTTGCCTGTAGCAGAATAATAATAATTATTATTATTATTATTATTTTATTATTATTTGTACAAAATTTCCCAGGGGCTGAACAATTCATCACCAAGCAGACATCCTTCAGTTTAGTCTTTGGAGCTAGATACCTGCACCACCTCTTCACAAGAGCACAGCCATGGAGTAACTTGCTCACTGTCTACAAGTGAATACTTACTTTTGTTCCAACCCTTAGAGAGGAATAAGTTGCCCCATCTGTAATTCTGTTATGTAATTCTGTTATGTTAACAGGCTTTGGAAGCTGCAGACCTAAGACAGAATTGCTCAAGAGCACTCACAAGCTGTGCAAACTTGACTCTCCTGTGGCTCCCTCGGCATAGCCTTTGCTGGTGGCTGCCCCGAATGCTCAGGACCACAAAGCCCTGCAGAGCAAAAGAGAACTATTCATTCCCTTGTGGTATCCCAAGACCGTCAGCTTGGTCCCCACTGTATGAATGTTGAATGAGCTCTTTTTTATTATATTAAAATGCCCATATAAATTTGGTCATATTAATAATTTTAAAATGTACCACTCAGTAGCATTAAGTATCTTCCCAATGTCATTCAACCATCACCATTATCTGGTTCCAGAGCTTTATCATTATCCCAAAGAAAATCCATACTCATGAGCAGTTACTCCCAATGCAACCCACCCCTCACACTCCAGAGGCCACTATTCTGCTTTCTGTCTTTATGGATGAACCTATTCTGGATATTTCACATAAATGGAATCACAATATGTGGCCCCTGGCGTCTGGCTTCTTTCACACATCATGATATTTTCAAGGTTGCTAATTTTGCTTTGACTTGGTACTCTTTCTCTCCCTAGGATGAGATTTGCACCAGGGAACTGGGCTAAGTGTGGAGTTTACTGAGGAAAACTTTATCAAATGTTCAAAATGGGAAATTGTCTCTGATTACTGGAAATATCAAAAGTGAACAAAAGGAAAAATACAGAATTCTTGGCTACTCTTTTTTCATAATACATCATTTATTGGGGAAGTTTCAAGTCCCTGGCATTTTGCTTTGTGTTCCTTTTCAAAACTGTAAGTTTTTGAATTTTCAAGATGTGTTTCTGTGCATCTCTTCTATTCTCACAACTGCTGTTATAGTAGTTAAATTTCATGTTTAACATTGGCCTACATGGTGTATAGTAACAAGATATAGGAAACAATCATAAAAGGACATAAATACCAGGGACGAGTAAAAATCTTTAATCTTCATGCCTATGGTCAGAGTTTTACGCCAAGAAGCATCATTTTATCCACGATAATTCTTTTTTAGTTCAAATATACCCTTGAACCTTCCTAACTTCACACACTTAAAAACTTCTGTGTCCATATTTGACCATGCTTTAGAAGATGAGCCATTTAGAAGCACTGTATTGGGCTGGGGATATGGCTTAAACGGTAGCGTGCTCACCTGGCATGCGTGCGGCCCAGGTTCGATCCTCAGCACCACATACAAACAAAAATGTTGTGTCCGCTGAAAACTAAAAAATAAATATTAAAATTCTGTCTCTGTCTCTGTCTCTCTCTCTCTCTCTCTCTAAAAAAAAAAAAAAAAAACAGGAAGATCTGTCCCTTGCATGGATTCTACCTTTAAAAAAAAAAAAAAGCACTGTATTTTCAATTTTTTTTTTTCATTTTCATAGTATTGAGTAGGTGGCTTTGGCAATTTTTTTTTTAAACCAAGTTATGTCTTGTACATTCCCTCATGCTTTCTTTTTTTTTTTCATCCACTACATACCTGAATGCATTTTATTTTCCATCATTTCTTTAGCTTGCAGATGCCAAATTAGTTTATGTAACTCAAAAGCATTTTGCTTAGGTTTATGCCTTTCCAGTCAAGCTGCTGTTACAGGAAAGAAATATCCAAGCAACGTGAACTCACCGACATAAAACATCGAAGACACATTTGGGACCCTGTCTCATTAGTAGGTTAGGGTCTATTGCACCTACTCGTCTGCCAATATCTATCTGCCAATATTCCCCAGTCTTTCCTGTTTCTAAATGTTGATTTAGATAAATGCTTTTCTAACCAAAATGAAACAGTATGGTATTTAAGTCAACCGTGAAAATAAGCACTGGCATATGTGGCCCCACTTGAAAGAAGCCCATACAGGCTTGATTTGAATTAGGCAAGAGGCCAAATGCAATCAGGTTTCCAAAGTCTGTCACTGCACCAAAAGGAAGAGGATCCCCCAGATTGCAGAAGACCTTGAAAGGCCAGAATTGAGTGGGGCTCCCCAATCTACCAACAAATGTGATTTTATAGAATAAAGAGGGAGGGGAAAATGGCAAATGAGGCCTTTCTCTTAAAATTCCCATAAAGGGCACAATGACTGGGTGATTTTTAGCTTATCTCTACCTCTGGAGTCCTGTTACAAGGTCCAGGTCACCCTGGGCTTAGTGCAAGACAAGACTTAACCCTGGACTATTGGAATAGACATAGAGTGATTCAGTGACCCGATGAAGACTTGCTATTCTACTGGCCCATTGTGGATGCCCTGCATGGTCACAGAATTGGTAATTGGTGCCCCCAGGAAAAGTCAAGATATCACTTCACCAATATAATGATAACTTCCTAGAAACAAACCTGATCTATATGTTTGAAATCTGACTTACAATGTTAATTGTGAGGATTCAAACTCTCACCATTTTTACTAGAACGGCTTTCTACCTTCTCTGCAGTTTAAGTCACTCAAAACTCCCTTGAGTTTGAAACAGTCCATTCTCAGTTCTGTGTCACCTAAAAGCCATGCTGTCATTCAGGTGTCTCTCCAGGCTGACATAGCCTCTCTTCCTTCACCTCACTATCCTGAGCTCTCTCTGCCCACATCAAACATCTACCTTGTGCATTGTCTTGGCCCCTATTAGCCCACAAAGGATACTGACTCTTTATTCTCCAAGTCCAGTCCTTTTGGTCAGTTTTACACTGTTGACCACTTTTATCTATAGATAGATATGCATCAAGCATTTAAGCAAGTACCTTTAGTAGGTCTCTCTCTGTAAGAGGCACCTCCAAACCAGATTGTCTCTTATGAATTAATCTTACTTAGATTGTGAACTCCTTGAGGCAGGACTAGGTTTCCTCTTTAAATCCTACATATAACCTGGCACATTACCAGTGCCTAACAGGTATTCAGTAAATTTTACAAAATTATTTTTAACTTTACAAAAATTGTCACAGAGAAAGTTTCTCATGTGCCCTCGTTATGTTTGGATTCACATGTATATTTCATAGACATACTTATGTGAAGGCAGGTATATCATACGCCAAATCGTATCATATAATTTTCACTAGAGTTTTTTTAATGAGCATTTTTTTTTTCAAAACAGGAACTAGTATAATGTTGCAAAAGGGAATTATTGCTTTTGGAAATCTTGACTATAGGTGGAAGAGAAGCAGGAAAACTTTGCAGCCAAGGCCTGCTAGTTCAACATTACTCCTTATATTAATTGTCCCTGGTCTTGTTAGAAAGCATGTAGGCTGAGACTTAAGCAAAGGAAAAGTGAACTTGGTTTTCAGCAGTAACTTTCTCTAGTCTATGCTTTGGTTTCCTCCAGCAGAAATTGTTCAGTGCTAGATGGGTGCGAGAAAAAATTTTGTGTTCTCAGTACTAAGACAGCTTAGCCCACCAACTCTTCTCCTATAACAAGAAAACCTTGAAAGATGATTTCGTTCTTTCATTTCCTTGCCTGTCCTTGAGGTACTAATGCCTTAAAAGAATTACTTTTCAAAGAGACAGAGCCCCCAAACCAAAGGAATGGAGATTATTTTTAAGTACTCTCTAATGTGTGGAATCATCACACTATGTATTTCATAGTCACCTTCCATATTCCTCTGGTTTGGGGGCTCTGTCTCTTTGATCAGCAGGAAAAAAAATTTAAATATCACAATTTGGCAAAACTAAGAGGTCCAGGTGTGAGAAATAATCTTTGAATAAAGGGAAAAAAACACTATATAAACTTGAAACTAAGATATCCAAGCAAATTGGTAGAGGTCTGAGTAAAGAGCGAAAACAGTATTGATTAATGGTATTGATGGTGATGAAAAGGAGATTACAATTAGTGTTCTGGTCTTAACACCAGTCAAGCGCTTACCAGAAGAATTTAACTGTTTGAACTTTGAAAATCCACATCAGATCTTGGCATGAGTATATTTCACAGGCAGTGTGAAAAAGGAGAGAAAGAGATTCCTTAAAAACATCTCTGTTCCTTGTATACCCCCTTTAAAAGTGATGCTTTTATAATAATTCCCAATACCTTTAAGACGAAATGTCTGATGTATTACATTCTGGTCCGAATTTGTTAAAAATAAAAATAAAAATAAAAAATCCCAAGAAGTGTTTTTAATTCTCCCAGGACCTCCCAACCCTCTAAAACACTAAAGAGCTTCAGTGGAAGAGGGCAAACCTTCTCTCAAGGAGACTGGGGACAAGCCATCCAGACACAACAGGATGTTTTGGTCATGTTTGTTTCACTCTCTTTCCTTGTAGCTACCTCATCCCTGAACTCCCAACTGCAACAGCTCCAGCAGCTCCAGCAGCTCCAGCAGCAGCAGCAGCAGCAGCAACAGCAGCAGCAGCAGCAGCAACAGCAGCCTCCTCCACCGCCAACCAGCCAGCACCCACAGCCAGCCCCACAGGCATCCTCACAGCCCCAGCAGCCTCCACAGCCCCAGCCTACCCCACCCCAGCAGCCACCACCTGCCTCCCAGCAGCTGCCAGCTCCTCCGTCTCAGCTGCAACAGGCGCCTCAGCCCCAGCAGCATCAGTCCCACTCCCACCCCCAGAACCAGAACCAGCCATCTCCAACCCAGCAGAGTGCAAGCCCCCCTCAGAAGCCCAGTCAATCTCCAGGACATGGCCTTCCGTCGCCGCTCACGCCACCCAATCCTCTACAGGTAGGCTTTCCAACCACCCCCAGGAGCACAGAGGACCTTTCCAGGTGTCACACGTGGTCCCCAAAGGCAAAAGGCCAGCACAACTTAGTATCCTGTTCTGCAGCATCTAATTCAAATTGATCTCTTAGACGGAGGGAAGAGGAAGCAAATAGCAGGTAGCTGGGGATGCATGTAAACGAAACAAATAGAAGCCCACTGATGTTGCCCTCCAAAGGATAAATGTTATCTCTTTCCTTCTGTGAGAGGCCAGCTCTGTAAGTGCACTTGTAGCCTGTAATAATTCCATTTTATGATACTTTTTGAAGGCAGCAAAGATAGCATCCAATTAAAATTATTACTAGCACAGTTTTGTAGCCCCGTGGAGAACCGCATCTACTGTCCATGAGGCATGGTGGTTATTTCTCTATATTATGAATACAACAGTGGCTTACCTTAAGTACTTTCTGCTCTTTTGTTTTTATTTTTCTAAAGACTCTCTGGGGTTAGGAGGGCAAAGAAATTTAGCCCCAGTCTTATGTCCCAGATTCCAACCATTACTCCACAGACTTGTTAGTGTTAGAGCCTCAGCAAATATGCATCTTTATAAAATAATAGAGCAGCTATATATTTCCTTTATTACTGTGAGGCTGAGGGCATCAAAAATGAATGCTTTGGGTTAATCATGAAAGCTCATCTTTAACCTACCACCACTGAGGAAGAAATAGGAGCCTTCAGGAATATATAACTTGAAACTTCTGGAAAACATTTTTCACACAGACACCCATAAAATGAATTAACTTCCCTACATAATAACTGTGATGTCAATGCATCAGATCTAGAAATGAATGGTTCAGTTGAGCCATCCAGACTTTGACATTATGATGATGTATTTGAGATTTCAGATGACTTAGTATACTCAGAGTACAGTGACAAACTCCAACACGGTGAGCAATGTGTGTACTCATTTGGATGCCACTTCACCCTCTCTTCATGGTGGGCCTTGTCCTGCCCTCCCCAACGAGAGGATGGCAATAGAGCAGGCATTCGTGGCTACTGAATGGGGAAATAATGCACTATCAAGATATTCATACTCAAACAAAAGGCAGGTGGATTAGGGACTTAGAATGTTTGGGCCAACTTTATTTATTGTCCCATATCTTTGTCCCTTTGAACTTGGATTCTAGATGTGGTCCAGAGTTTTCCTGGAAATGAACATACTTGGGTGAGATGAGTAATTATGTTTTTCCAGGCACTTGGGGCCAAGACAACTTTCCAGTGTGAACATTTTCCTGAGTTAGTTGGAGTTGTATTTTCACAAATCTTACAAGGGAGAGACTCTCTAATACATTTGGCATGGCAATGAACATAAGCTTAAAACACCTTCACCAGACACTTGACGTCTAAGGAGAGAGGAGGCATAATCAAATTTACAAAATGCATAATTAAATCAACCCTAACATTTTCAACATCTGGAGTTCAACTCTATCGTTCCAAAGAATGAGTTTTAATGCTTTTGAACAACAGTTCAATTAGATACGCATATATACAATGTAATTTAATACTTGCTGTGTCCCAGGTACCAAAATAGGTAAAATTACCAAGGAAAAAAATGGCCCTGTGCTGAGATATGAAATATCTTAGATCTGAAGCTAGTTGTATATATTCTAGCATTTTTTCCCATTAAGTAAAAACGGTCTTGGAGCTCTGTGGAAAACAGCCTTCCCCCAAATACTTCCAGAATCTTAATATCTGCCAGCAAGTGAAAAGGCAGCATGGATATGTGCAGTTGATAGGACTTTAGATGTGGTGACCACTCTACCTCTTGGGAATAAATTCTCTTAGGAGAAGTTCTAAAAGTTCTCCTAAGAGCTTCCCATGGAAATCCAGGGACTATACAAGGTTTTTGTGTTGTTGTTGTTGTTGTTGTTTTGTTTTTTGACAACAAATAAAGACTCAGAGCTACATTTCTTTACGACCTTGAGAGAATATTCTAATTTTTTCACCGTTGGAATTTTACCTTTTAATAAATATATTTAGAGTCATTTAAATGCAGAGTAGATACTACACTAACTTCTGTGGATCTAATGGATAACCACCAAAAAAGTGACTTGATACAAATTTTAAAAATATTATTGAGTAGATATAAAATTAATTTTGAATAAGTAGATGTCTATAGAAATTAAAGGAATTTTTTCCCCTTGACCACAGTTGTATGTAAGGAAAATGAAGAATTTCATAGTTTAAGTATTTTTTCAACACTAGTTGTGGGGGTTTTAAGTTTGGGAAACATGGGATGTTTTAACTATTTTTCTGTTAGTACTGGGAATTGAACCGAGGGCCTTGTATATTCTACTCAAAATGTTCTACCAGTAAGCCACACTCCTAGCCCAGAATGTTTGAACATTTTAAAAAGAAAACTATTTAAAAGGCACTGCAAAGATGTTTAACTCTCAAAGGTAATGATCTTTATGAAGTAGAATAAAGCGTTTTTGCTTAAAAATTAAAAAGGGAATAAAGATCAACTAAATTCATATATGAAAGCCTAAATCTCATTTTACAATTCTTTATTTTCATATGGGCTTTGTCTTTTTACATTATTCAAAATCCATCTAAGAAATATTAGTTTAGAACTATGCAATGTAGTTTATTAGGGAAAGCCAGCACACGAAAAAGGTTTTTGCTCAAAAAAATTTTTAAAGGATAACAATCATGTCTAAAAAATGTACAGATACTGACTTCAGGGGAAAAAATGCATTAAATTAGATTGTAAAGGTATGTTTGGGTGAGGTCATTTCTTAAGATAAAAAAAAGATTAATAGTGCTGATGGGTAGTAACACTCTAGACAAAAATTCTCCAAATAGCTCTTGTCAGGTTTTTTCTGTGAAATTGCAGTATAATTTTATTTCACTCTTTACTCAATTCCATGAAACAGATTGCATTTACAAAACTACGTTGTTGTTTCAAGACAGATATGAGTAGAAAGTATTATCCCTTCAGAGAAGCCAAGGTAGGGGAATAACTGTTCATTAATTTTGATCACTCTGATCTACGGGAAGGGCTGGGGGTCTAGAGTAGATGACAGAAGTTGGTCCCTACAGATCTGTCTGTAGCTTTTCCATTGAGACTCAAGACCTACCCAACTCAAAACTTCATTCTCTCCCAGGAGGCACAGGGGAGAAGTTCTAAAGAGAAAATGCAAGCATACTGGTGTTCAGGAGTCAGGCTGTCATTAAAATTAGTAGATGCAGGTGCAGAACTCAAAGTCAAATTTTTTAACTGTGTGAGACAAATGAGACAAATAAGATACACCTGTGAGATGAATTCAGCCTTTGGATTCAGGGTGGATGTCAGTCCATACACCTTATTTTTGCTCTAACCCACCAGTCACAGACTGTATCAATATCAAAAACTAGAAATTCTAACTGTATTGGGGAGAAGCAGAATAGAAGCATAAATGGAAACAATTTTGCAAGGAAAAAGACTTGTTCTAATCACTCCTATGTTGATAAAACAACCAACAACCAATACATAAATTTGATCTGGATAAAGATCACTTATGCATAAGAATAGTGAAATTGATTTTTACTTTTTATCACCTTTGAGATGGTTTTTCCTGCAAAGTTCTTTGGGAGTTTCTATTTGTATTGGAGAGATCCTAAACATTTTGTGAATGCCCTCATGTGCACATATTCCCTGCAGGGTGGTCTGGAATCAAACTGGGCCTGGTTGATGGCTAGTTGTCGTGTCCAGGGATGAGGATGGTTGGAGAGTTAGAGGTCTCATTCTAGTTCTGACCCTGCCTCCAACTAACTCTCAATTTTGAACAAGTTGTAACTCTCTAGACTTCATTATTCTCATCTGCTGCATCTACAAGCTCTAAGTTGGCAGGCCTCTGGAATTTTATTGACTATTAAAAGCCTGATGGTCTTGAAGACTCTCTGAGTATTCTTCAAGGTCAGGTGAATTTCTTCCCACTCAGCTGGGTGGCAGAGTGGAAAGAGAGCGGGAGACAAACCTAAGTGGGATAATGATAGCAGAAGCAGACTTTATCTTAGTAAGAAAGTCCAAATTAAAGTCAAGTTTTTATCCTTAGAGAGTCACTACTATAAGCTCTGGTTTCAGATTGTTTTTTCCATACCTATACATTAGAGAAGCTTAAGAAACCAAATGCTGCATTTAACCTTGGCCTTCTGCGTACTGTCTTGCATGGCAGGAAGCAGGATAATCTTTTCCTTTTCTTGTATTGCACATTTTAATAGATAACAGAGGGAGACAGAGATCAGTGGAAATAAGAGGACTTGTATGAGAAATGAGGGACATGGTCACCTCCCCAGAGGTGGTGGTGCTCAAGAGATAAGGTAAAAACATGGTCTCAAGCATGTGCATTTACTAATATAAAGGTCTAGTTACCACTCAGGCTTAGAGCAATACAACTGTTTAAGAATTATACCTCTGATACGCAGTGGACATAGCCTTCTGGTCTTCTCAGTTGGGATGTTTTCCCACTGACAAATTTTAGTACTGAGTCCTGAAGCATATATTTGATGGGGAAAGGAAGTACATTATTACTTTTTGAAACAACGAGTCCAAGCCCTTGAGAAGTGGTCAGATCTACATGTCTATTATATCCTTTAAAGCAAGTGGTCTCCAATCTTGGGTTCTTCCCTCCAATTTAGAAAAGGTCCAGTGCCCTCATCCAAACTCTCCCTTTCCCCAGAAATTAATCTTGATCAATTTACCACAATATTAGTTAAGGTTCTGTGGATCTAAGATATCTCATTTATAAAGGAAGACAGTAAAATAAAATACTTTCTAGTATTCTGTTTGAAGTTCTATTTAGAGTTTTATATTAAACATCCCTAATACTGTTTAATGTTGGGTAACCTATACAGGAACACTCATATAACCCCAGATGGGGCCATTGTAAATTCTAATAGCACTCAAACATAGGCTACACCCACATAGGCTGAATCACTTGCAGAATTCTCCTCTCCACAGCCAAGGCTACGGTGAAGGTATG